TGATCAGCTCCGGCCCCAAAAATTTACCTCGACTTGCGAACTCGCCTCGACTTACGAACCGTATCCGTAGCCATTTTCCGCCCGTTCCACGTGGTCCGCGGCCATTTTCTGCCCGTTCCACATGGTCTGCGGCCATTTTTCCACCCGTTCCACGTGGTCCGCAGCCATTTTCCGCCCGTTCCACGTGGTCCGCAGCCATTTTCCGCCCGTTCCACGTGGTCCGCGGCCATTTTTCCGCCCATGCCACATGGTCCGCAGCCATTTTCCGCCCATTCCGTGTGGTCCGCGGCCATTTTCCGCCCGTTCCACGTGGTCCGCGGCCATTTTTCCGCCCATGCCACATGGCCCGCAGCCTTTTTCCGCCCATTCCGTGTGGTCCGCGGCCATTTTCCGCCCGTTCCACGTGGTCCGCGGCCATTTTTCCGCCCATGCCACATGGCCCGCAGCCTTTTTCCGCCCATTCCGTGTGGTCCGCGGCCATTTTCCGCCCGTTCCACGTGGTCCGCGGCCATTTTTCCGCCCTGCCACGTGGTCCGCGGCCATTTTCCGCCCCTGACACATGGTCTACGGTCATTTTTCTGCCCGTTCCACGTGGTCACATTTGTGTGTGTGGGTGTGCGCACGTCCATGTATATGTGTTTGCGCTCATGCACACTTCTGTGTTTTTCCCCATAATCCTCCTTTATCTTATCTTTGCTTTTTGTATCAGAATTTATGAATGCAGCTTGCTCTGCAGCTGTGACAAGAACATGTGCCAGAACAGATTAGTACAGCATGGCCTTCAAGTTCGCTTACAAGTCTTCGGCACTGAAAAGAAGGGCTGGGGAGTTCGCTGCCTTGATGACATCGACAAGGGAACATTCGTTTGTACATATGCAGGTAAAGTCAAAGTGATTTAAGAACAGAGGGAAACTGATCTTCTTTTATATATGCATACCCCTATGCACATATTATGCGCACACACACACACACACACACAATCACAATAAAGATTACTGAATGTTTCAGTGCTGAGGAAGCATTAACTACCATTCCAATATTGAATTAATATTTGTATCAATATTCGTTGATGTTCATTTGTTTCTCTGGTACATTTTTACCATTTCTTCTATATTTAGGCTATGTAGTTAATTAGATACCTCAAATAGATGCTTTATCTCTAGCAGTGAAAAAAAATTGTTAAAAGAAATCAGTATTCCAGCTTTGATTTTATTTTTCTTACAAGAATCTTGTCTGGTACCTTGTCCTGACTCACTGTGCAATATTCTCTCTGTGAAACTATCAGTAGAAACAATATTGCATTCTTTTTGACTCAGTAACTTAAACAGCTTTATTTCAGGCTCATTGTTATGTATTATTTTATATCAGTGATATATTGCTTTAACTGTATATTACATTAGAATTTTTAATATTATATAACTTTAGTACTATAAGTTAAAGCATTATATTAAATATTTTAAATAAATAATATCCTTCAAATAGATAATTGCAGCTGTCCTATCCTGTGGTATATATAGAATTTCTATATAGAGATATAGAAATTCATATCTAATATAATCTAAAAAATGAATGGAACCTTGCATGTTGAAAGTTAGCATTTGATATAAATGAGTGGAGTGTTAGGCAGGCAAATCTACTGAACAAAGACTTGTTCAACGAGAATGATAAAAATTGGCTCTAGTGTTACAAAAGTTTTGGTCATAGTACCCATGGCAGAGTTATTGGTGTTTTGGGGGAATCCTTGAGAAATTTGACTACTGGCAGTGAGGAATGCCTTACCATTGGGCATCGTTTTGTGGCTCTCATTAGAAATCTAAAGGAACCTTTCTTGGACTGTAGGCACCTCCAGAAAGTGTCCTGGGTCCACAAAACATGAGGAACCAGGAGGCACTCCATTTCTTCTCCATGTATAAACAGAGCTTTGTTTCTGCTCTTTTTCTTGTTTTGCTCCCCTCAATCTAACTGCTTTTTTCCCCTCTTACAAGGTCCCTTATCCTTTTCTACCATTTTTATTTTTGGTAGCTAGACATGCTGCACAAGAAGGCCTATCTTGTGTCCACCTGCCATGTTTTGAACCCATGTGTTTGTGATATATGGATACAGGACATACTGGGAGATCTGTGTGGCTCCTATCCCATACATCCACTATTACACAAACACGCACACACATACACTGCTCTGTTACATTATTTCAGCTTTGTGTATTTTGCCTGTGACACAACTACAGGAGGGATGGAGTTTGCATTTTAATATTACAAGAGATGTTTCATCCTTTGCTCCCCTTCCCCCCCCCCAAGAGATGCCCATGACACAGTGGATACTACACTGAAAATTTTGAGAGCAGTTCCACCAGCAAATTGCATTTTACAGCATTGAGATGAATGAAGTGTTTCAGTTGATATGGAACAATCTTCCTTAGGAATATTGCAAATGGAATTAATAAAATATTTCAATATATTTCCATCTGCTGAAAAGGGAGGGCTCTTCTGACATCCTCCTGTAGGGTTATTCTAGTCCCTGACAGTTTTCTCTTTCCCCATACCTGACATAATAGCATCCTGGAAACTCAGAAGTTCTTCTGAGATTATGCATAGATTTTTAAAATTTTAGTTTGCAGTCATCTTTATACATAGGTTATCTCTGGAATGTGTAGAAACCACTTTCTTATTGTGGATGACCTGGTTTCACTTCCAAACTGTTAAGCACTCAACCACTTAAGACTACTGTGAAAGGGAGCAAAATATTAAAGTATGTCCTCACCGTAATCTGTCCCTGTTCAGGCTCTTTTGTTTTGTTTTGTTTTGTTTTGGTGGGAGGAGGTTTCACTTTTCCTGAGGCTGCAGCATGTTAATGTGGTTTCTTGCTTCTCAGTTATCCCATATAGACTCTAGTTCTGTCAGTCTTTACTATATGAGATTACTATTGCAGGGAGTGATACAAAATAATGTTGCACTTTGAAATGAATATTGTATGTTGCATTCCTATCCTGCTTTTAGATTTAGACTCTGGAGCATATAAAAATATAAAATTAATAGGGTAAGGGAAGATCTGCTGATAGCAAACATTAGGCATATCTGGGATATCTTTTCTGACATGTTTATCTTTTTTTACTGCAGATACTTCATATATCAATTTCATAAATATAGTATTTTATTCTAGGGAGATTGATGACCAGAGATGAATCTTGCCAGGTTAAAAATAGTGGTGAAATTGAAGAAGAAGACACCAAGAATAGCAGCCAGACCTTATTTTCAAGAAAGAGAAAACTGGATACAGTCTGTTCTGATTCAGAGAATGAATTTATTCAGGACACTGGGAGACAACAATCCTCATACCTGAATGCTGAAAGCCAACCAAATATGTAAGTTAACAGCAACTAAGTGTTTAAATAGTCACTGTCCCTTCACTGTGACTATTCAGATTCTGCCAAGAGTTAGAGTATCCTTGTAAAAGAGTATCTTGACATTGAGACATTATTTTCCAATGTTCCCAGTTATTTTATTAGTTATTGTTTGATCTCTCTTTTAGTCCCTTTGAGATAAAGGCCCGGCTCCTGCTTACTTCTGTCAGTTACTGACACTGTATCCACCCTGTCTGAATCTGGATAGACCCACTTTTGTGTTCTATCTAGTAGTGACTTATTAGTAGCCTATACATGTAAGGAGTACCTCTAACAATACAAGCATCTAAAGATCCCTCTTAGATCAGAATACACACAGTTGCTCTGCAGACTGATCCCTTCTATCTGAAGGCCAGTTGGCTAATCCCTGAGCAAGCACAGCTCTCCTCCTCTTGAGATTAAATAATGAGGGAGGAGTTTGTTGGAGGTTCTGGTTCTTTGAATCTCCCCATGAGCAGCTGTTGGCGGTAATGAAGAAAGGGAAAGAAACTAAGCCTATGTCCAGGACCAAGAGAAGATATAATCCAACCCATAATTCTGTGTTCAGAATACTAAATAAGAGTAGCATTAGGGAGCTGATTTTATTTTGCATGTGCTTGAGGCAAATTACTGATTTCTTTCAAAATTATTTTTTAGGCCTAATCTCCATTGTGGCTGAGCCTACCCATTATTCCTTTGTTCATCCTGCCCCTCCTGATGCTAATCCTCATCTCTAAACCTAATAATCCTCTATATTTTCTAAACTCTTGTGTATTCCTGTCCTGTATCTTGAAATAGAAGGGGGTGGGTGAGCTTCAGACACCTAAAAGAAAAGTATCCCCCCCCCCACCTTTTTTGCCTTTCTTTTATAACCATGGTTGAGGTTGAAAAGAAAGTGCTGACAGCAGATATTAGCTGAAAGCAATAAATGTTGCATCACTCTGAACTAGAACAGGCCCAGTTGTGAAAGAGAGTCTTACAATATAAAAAAATGTAAATTGTAACGGTAATACACAGTATGGTGATACCCTTTATTACAGCAATGCTAAAAATCTCTTAGGATATAAATGATTCTTTAAAGCTCTTCACAGATGATGTAGATGCTGGGCTTTCAACATAGTTCAATTGACAGTAATTAATAATACACAAGCTCTGTTATGTCAGCAGACTGTGCTAAGTGAATGGAACTGAACTGCCCTGATTCTGCATTAATCCTCTGTGTGTGAGTCTGCACATAGCAAAAAAGTTAAGCAAATTTGTAATCTTTGTAGGCATTTACCTTAACAAACATTCCATAAGATGGCAAGGAATTTGCTGTAAACCCTGTAAAATTACTAGGAGAAATAGTTTAAGGAATTCTACTTTAATGTATGCTATATAAAACCATGTTTCTGTTATCAGAATTCAGAACTACAGCTCTTACAAGAATTGCAACACGCAAGCTCTAGCAAGACTTAAAACTAAAAGATCCATTCTTCAAAGACACCGGCAAGAACTAGTAAATATTCTGTATTTATGTTTAGACTACCTTGTTGGGTTTTCACTTTATTTTAGTCTACATTTCAACTGCTTCAAATCTGTTCTGTTTTTACATTTGATGGCCAAGTGATTAGGGTACACCTTACTTTGTTCAGTGACTAATAATGCAGTACTGCAGTGTTTCTCAACCTCAGCAACTTTAAGATGTGTGGGCTTCAGCATGCTAGCTGGGGAATTCTGGGAGCTGAAGTCCACTGAGGCTGAGAAACACGTGCAGTATAGGATACTTCTTGTGCTGTTCCTTCCTTCTCTTTCCCTAAGAAGAATGTATGTATCTCTTAATGAGATTATTGTGCAGATCTGTGCAAAACATTCTGAGCTTGAAATAGCTGTTTTGAGATTGAATCAGGCTGTTTTGACCTCATGGGATATGTTCCAACATTGCACTGAATTGACAGAAAGGTGAAATTGGAAAGTTCCGTTTCAAATTCGAAAAAGCTATTTTGCATTGGAGCGGTTCTGAATTTGAAATATTTCATGCACCTTTCTAGTTAAGAGAAGTAAAAGAGCCTGAGAAAGGAGATTCATTATTTTGGGATAGCACTGGCTCCTGAGTCTACATTTAAATTTGACCTTCCAAGATGTATCCTGCTTCATAGATTGGTCCTGCCTAAGTAAAGTATTTGAGTCTGATTGGAGATCCAGAGAGTCTCTTAGAGCTAATTTTATCTTCCCTCACCCTTGGCCAACATGTCCTGTGGAGCTGTATGAAAACCAGAAAATGTGTTTTGTCCCTTGTGCAGAACAAACACATTATGACTCTGGGTTGGCTGGGCTGGTTCTGTGCAGGTTGCAGTTTGTCCAACCCAACACTTGGACCCTTTCGGCTGGATAACTCTTCCCTCTTACCCAATTCATTCCAGAAATGGAAGACCCAAGAAAACCAGGATTGCTTCTAGAGAAAGATCAAAATCTTGAGAAACCAACAAAGGAAGTCCAGGATTAAATCCCTAGCTTGTCTGCCTTACTAGATTAAAAAAAAGTAGTCATTGGAACAATTCAGAATCTACATTTTGCTATTTCTTTCTTCAAAGGGAATTACTGATGCCAGCTCAGATGAAGATGAGAGTTCCTTGTTTCAGATGTCAGGAACAAGAAGAATAACTCCTGCAACCCAAAAAGGAGATGAACGTAATTTTGCACCATTTTGTTTCATTTTCACAGGATGTGCATGTAAATTGCATATCTCAAAACCACTGTTAAGGACTTAAAAGCACTACAGTTGATAAAGTCAAAAGAAAATTGAATAAAAATAATGCTAAGATCTAAAAGCATAAAAAACTCTTACCAGGACAGAAAATACTGTAATATTCTATTGATTTCCTACTTAGCCTTTGTCATGGTTTTTTTTTTTACCTTGGTAGGCAGATGGCCTTGTATAATATTACGTCCCTAACGCTCAGATTTGAAGAGTTTTGAGCAGTGATGATCTATTTGTTTGGGGATAGTTCAGAATTCATGGCTGCCAAGACCACAAGCTAAATTCTTGGTATGGGGTCTTGTATATTTGGCAGGCATAATGTAGGATGTGATGTGTGATACGTGGCATGAGAATTATGAGTGGGGAAGTGATGGAGTTCTGTTACTGAGGATAAGCCATTGTCTGAGGTGTACAGTTTTTAATCCAAAGAAGACAAAGGTGCTTCAGATCCCACATGAGCGTCCTTTCTATATTGTTGGCAGCTCCTTAAAGGAGTTGGGCTTTTTCCTGGACTTGCACATAGGAACTCAGGAGGCAGAGAAAGTGCAATGACATGTGAACTAACTCTGTTGTTATCTCTGTAATACCTTATGAATGCAAGCTCATATGTACCTAAGCCTGTACAGCTGCTATGTGAGCTCAGGTGCATCTCCTGTAAGCAGCTGCTAACAGGTACAGCAGAGTACCCACAGCAGATCCAAAGCACCTTTGACTTTTGGTCCAAATACTGAAATCTTAGGTATGGCTGTGATCCGTGCTCTGAATCTGATGGAGCTGGAGTTTTCTGACATTGAGGGGCTCATCCTGTGGATACAGTTAATAATTTTGCGGATACAGTTTTAAAGATGAGAGATGATCCAGGCTGTTTGTGGAAAGTGAAATGTGGCAAGAATTGAGATAGGCAGGCCCTCAATATGGGAAGTGAAATCCAGGTAAATTTGATGATGATAACAGCCAGAATAGTTAGTGAAATACATTGCTAAGGATTCTGTGAGCATGTATGAGAAAAAAATCTAAAAACAAAGAGCCAGCATGGGTTTCTCAAGAACAAGTTGTGCTATTCTAATCTTATCTCCTTTTCTGATATAGTTGTTATCCTTATAGAACAGAAGAATGCTTTGGAGATAGCATATTTTGATTTTAGTAATATCCATCATAATATTTTTTATTGACAAACCAATAAAATAACAGCACAACTGAAAGGGAGAATTAAACTGATGATATGCCATACCCAAAGATAATGCCTTCTACTATGGAAGCGTCAGATGAATTTTATAGATCTCTGTCCTAGGCCCACTATTGTTAAATCAGTTTTTAAATGTTTTGGATTAAAGAGTAAAGGGGCTCCTTGCCAAATTTGCAGATTATGCTAAATGTAGAAGGGCAGATAATACTTAATCAGAAACAGAATTCAGGGTGAACCTAAGAGGAACATAGGAAGCTACCTCCTATTGAATTGACCAAAAAAGAAAAGACTTGGATCCTCTTCATTGTCTGCTGGAATCACGTTGGTGCAAATGAAACCCACCACTGCAGCATCTTCTATAAACCACCAGGGAAAACCTTTTATACTAACTTCTGAAGCAGTTTGAAGAAGGCTAAACTCTTGAAGAAGGGCTTGGTCTAATACGCAGCGGACATCTTTAAGACATCATTCCTTACAGCAACCTAGAATTCTCACCCCTACCTGCATTGGTACTGATCTCCCTCTCTTTTGCACAAGAAAGGGAGAGCTTGTCCATCCTGACCATTTGAACAAAAATAATGCTTGGATTTTATAGTGACAATTCAAGGCCAAAGCAAATAAATGGATAGATCTATCTCCAAAAGACTAATTGTAATTTAATATAAATATAAACAGCAGGGTCGGATCAGAGACCAACAAGGAAACTCCAGACTGTAGACTAGGGAAGCTGAAAAAAGACACCCTGGAAGAAGACAGTGGCAAACCACTTCCATACCATTGCCAAGAAAACTACATGGTGGTGTTCCTGTAGTCACCAGGACTCCAGCTTGATTTGAGGGAGACTTTATTTAACAATTGCTGTTTATGTATTTCCATTTTTCCCTTCTGTTACATTAAAATTACAATTTGGCAGCAGTTTTGGGGGGACCAAGTCTCTAGGGACCAAGTCCAAGGTTTCATGAAGAGTCCAGTGTAGCTCAGGGGCCTCAAGTTATATATTGCTGCTTTAGAATACCACATTATAAAAGATATGATAAATGGACAAACTTGTATTTTGTTTTATATAGCCTGTTAGCACTGAACAATATTTCATTCTTGTTGGTATTCCTTTAGTGTGAATCAACTGCTAAATTGCAAGACATTTTTCTAAGCATCATCTCCACCAGTCGGATTCAAATGAAACACTTAATGGGTTTTTATCCCCAGCAAAGAAAGAAAATGGGGTGTTCTTGATTAAGAGGTTGCTGTTCAAAAATAGTATTTTAATCTACTGGTCTAGCAAATTTAAATCAGAGCATGTATGCAAGACATTGAAAAGTGTGACTGTGAGATGTTCCTAAATCGTATGCTAATCTTGAGATGTTTCTTTACAGAATCAAGCCTGCAAGGCAGACTTGGGGAACTAGTGAACACCATACAATCTGAATCTAATACTGACAGCTATAAAGAGAATCTTCTTTCCAATGCTTCATTGAAAAGTAAACCACCTAAGCAAGATGACAGAGGGATTAAAAAACAACACAAGGATCTACTTTGGTCAGATGACCCAAAAAAGGGAAAAATTCAGAGAAACAGACAAGAACTTGCTTATATTAAGGAGGCAGCAGAAATTGAGACATGCCCGAAGGATAAAGAAAATCCTTGTTTGCTGGATGCCACAAGAGAAGGCAACGTAGGCAGGTTTCTTAATGTAAGTTTTATTTATTTATTTATTTACTGAATTTATATAGCCACCCATCTCAGCCAACGATTTTGGGTAGTGAACAATATTTAAAATAAAAGTTAAAACAATTACAATCACACAATTAAAAAATTAAAATACATAGCAACCAAGAAAAATACAGCAATCACTAACACAACTAGGAGATGGGTCCCTTCACACACTCAGGGCCCTAGGAATGGCACAAAGCCAGGTCTTTAGGGCCTTATGAAAGGCCAGTAGGGTTGGGGCCATCCTGATCTCTGGAGGGAGAAAGTTCAATAGGGCAGGCACTATGGCAGACAAGACATGCCTTTTGGGCTCTGGCAGCTGACATTCCTTAGCTGATGGGACCCAGAGCATGCCCATCCTGCTGGATCTGATATGAAAGGTGGAAACAACTGGGAAGAGACAGTCTCTTAAGTAACCCGGTCCCAAGCCATGAAGGGCTTTAAAGGTGACAACCAGCACCTTGAATTGCATCCAGAAGCACACTGGCAAGCAATGCAGCTCATGAAGTAGTGGTGTTACATGTGCCGAATAGCCAGTGCAATTTACTATCTGCATTGGTTGGTCATTCTGCAACTGGTCATTCTGCACCAGTTGAAGCTTCCAAATGCTCTTCAAGGGCAGCCCCATGTAGAGAGCGTTGCAGTAGTCCAGACAGGAAGTCATGAGGGAATGAGTTACAGTGAGCAGGGCCTCCTAGTCCAGGAACAGGTACAACTGGCGTAGAACCTGAAGGTGTGCAAAGGCCCTCCCAGCTATAGCTGCCACATGCTCTTCAAGCAGGAGCCGTGAATCCAGAAGGACCCCCAGATTGCCCACCAGATCTGTTTGAGGCAGTGCCACCTCATCCAGAACTAAAGATGGAAGATCCCTAGCATCAGAAGTTCCAAAACTCCAAAGCCACTCAGTCTTGCTTGGGTTGAGCCAAAGCCTGTTCTGCCCCACCCAAGCCCCCACAGCTTCCAGGCATCAGGACAGGACATTGATAGTATCACTCAGGCAGCCTGGGGTGGAGATGTAAAGCTGGGTATCATCAGCATACTGGTGATTTGTGTGTTCATCTTTGAGTCATTGTTGACTTCTGGCAACTACCTGGACTAGTCCCTTCAGTTTCCTTGGCAAGATTTCAGAAGTGGTTTGCCATTGCCTCCTTCCTAGGGCTGAGAGAGAGTGACTGGCCCAAGCTGGCTTTGTACCTAAGATGGGACTAGAGCTCCTGGTTCTCCAGTTTCTAGCTCAGTGTGTTAACCACTACATCAAATTATCTCTCATATACTGGTGATACCTCACCCTAAAGTGTTAGATGATCTCACCCAGTGGCTTCATGTACATGTTAAACAGGAGGGGAGAGAGAACTGAGCCCTGTGGCACCCCACAAAATAGGGGCTGTGGGCTGGACCTCTCCCCCCCATCAACACTGACTGGAACTTGCCCCAGAGGAAGGAGGAAAACCAGCACAACACTGTGCTGCCTACCCCCATCTCCCAGAGCTGGTGCAGAAGGATGTGGGGTGCCACAGGGCTCAGTTCTCTCTCCCCTCCTGTTTAACATACATGAAGTTGCTGGGTGAGGTTATCTGACACTTAAGGGTGAGGTGTCACCAGTATGTAAGAGACAGTTTGATACAGTGGTTAACACACTGAGCTAGAAACTGGAGAACCATGAGCTCTAGTCCCGTCTTAGGTACAAAGCCACCTGTACGCAGTCTTCAAGGGCAGTATAATGTACCTCTAATTTTCAGTATGTTTTTCTATTTAATGAATGTGATATAAACAGTTAAAATTTGTGGCTCTTATTTATCTACCAATTTATAAAAGTAAACCAGTTATCATTTAGTTTTATCTTCTATAATTCACATATAAATTATTGGAAAACCTTTTCAGCCTTAAGTCTAGATACCAATGATAAGCATCACGAAATGCAGAAGTAGATGAGAATAATAAATGACTTGTAGAAGGGGGTAAATAAGTATGTACAGTATTTAATTACTGATATTGCTTAGCCCCTATTTCATCAGCTGATGAGTGGGGAAATAGGGCAGAAGAGTGAAGCCAGGAAAAAGGCTAGGATTTGGGAGGAAACGGAGGAAAAGGCCTGGTGTGAAGAGATACAGAGTCTCCTGAGATGAGGTTTATGGTCTCTTCCCCTCCTTTTATACTTCATCTTGTTCCTTACTGTTGGAATAGAAGTAGCTGGCTTTGGCCTTCAGTGTCTGTTCTACTTGTTCGCTGCTTCAGTAGTGATTTTGCTTTTACTTTTATTGGTCTGGCTGAACCCTCTGGTGGAAAAGTCACCCAAGAAGTGCCGACAGTGGGAGAGTCACTGGTCTCTTGCACCCAACGAGCCAACAGCACCAGCCACAAGATTACAACATTTTTTTATAAGTTAACAATCAAAGAGAAATTGGACATGGACATACATTGGATAGAGACCACTAGAGATTGTTCTACAGCTGATAAGAAAGATAAGCATAAAGAATTCGGAGTAAAATACAGTTCACTCTGAAATGCAGGGCTATCTGCTTTAATATGGGAGGATGTCAGGTCTCTAATTGTTGCTCTAAAGTTTTGATCCCTCATCCTACTGAGGAGCTGATAAGGATGCTAATTATTAGCATCCTTGAGAATGTTACTGTACAGTTTCTTGAGGCACAAAGCTTTAAATATAGGGGGGTCCTGTAAGAGCGTTACAGAAGAAAACTTTTAACCAACTAAAGTATAAAGCAAGAGATGTTAACAACGTAAGTTAAAAACAAAGTTGCATAGAAGATATATCAAAGAACAGCACTATGGTTTTGTAACATACTGATAATGAATACATCAGATTTTGTCCCTTCGTAAAACCATGTTCGTCCTTTGTGCTTTTGCATTATTGATGTTAAACACTACAGAAAAGAATACTTTACCCAAACATTCGTGCCTGTCTCCATAAGAAGTGTATGCTTTTGATGATCCAAACGGGCACAAAAAAGCACATTAAAAGAAAAGCAGGTGCTTCTATTTTAACTGTTGTTACTTGTTTTGTTTATAGCACAGCTGCTCTCCTAATCTCTTTGTACAAAGTGTATTTGTAGAGACACACAACAGAAATTTCCCCTGGGTGGCATTCTTCACAAAGAGGTTTGACATAGTTTTCCTTATTTTTCAACTCATAAGCAAAAGCTCTGTGAGCAAAAATTAATACTTGTTCTGTGATTGTCTTGTACCAAATAACAGAATGCAGAAAGTGGAATGGGGTTACTGCTGAGCCATATTATGTAAGAAAAATACAATAGCGAGAGGTTTTATCCCTTTTATATAAAGGCAGATAAGGCACAGCTCTATGCTTGTGTCTGATTTTTATAGCATAAGTGATTGAATTTGGAATAACGTATTTTTCTGTCTGTACCATAAACAAATCTTGATATTTCAAGGGACTGATGAAGGAAGTTATATTGGGGTTTGAGAGTGTGGCTGTATATGTGTGTGTACTGATTAACAACTATTTGATCTCAAGAGTTTTTATCTTCATAACATTAAATACTTCTGTTTTTTATCATGGATAAATGCTCTGAGCTTTTTAGACTTTATTAAATATTTATTAAACATTTATTTATTAAATATAATATTAAATATTATATTATTAATATTAAATTTTCTTAAACATATTTAACAAACCATTTATTTAATAATAAACCATTATTAAACACCAATAACATGGCTTAGTTGTTGCAGAAGAGATAATTTTCCTGGCTTCCCATTCTTGCTGTGTTTCCCTGTCATGATCTCCAGGGACAGCATACTTTAGTGAACTAAATCTTGGTTTCATTTATTTCCTTAACCTTTGTTAAGAAAAGAAATCTTGATTAGTGCTACTTAAGCACTATGTGCTTAATGGCAATAATGTTAGATATTCAAATTAAGTAATCTGTTATGGAATTCTTTTGAAAGAAACCCTGTGTCCCTTAAAACAAACAAAACATTACCTTATTTCATATCTGTAAAATGAGGCTGGAAGATAAATCTGTAGAGCTCATTATAGTTCTTAGTTTTGAGTTCAAAATTCAATCTGCTGACACTATAGTTCATTTGAAAGAAATCTTAATAGAGAGGACTCCAGTGGAATAATAAGTAACTCTCCATTAATAGCAAAGACTCTTTGTCTCAATACAGAATAGCAACAGCTTTTATCTGAAGTTGTAAGTTTTGTGAAGAGCAGACTTCAAGTCAACCTTGTTGGCAGTCTTAAGCCCTATCTTGCATTTCTCAGAAAATACTCATAAATGTAAGCATAAGTTCTTGTGGATTATTGCTATTATACTAATTGTGTGACATATTTGCTTTGCAGGCATGTAAAAGCTGGAACTGAACTTACATGGGATTATGGTTATAAAGCTGGAAGTATGCCTGAGACAGAGACTACCTGTCAGTGTGGGAGTCTTAAGTGTCGGAAAAAAATCCTGTAGTTTTTTGCATTTATGAAATGGGCAGCATACAAATAATGTACAATTAAAAGAAAAGATTGGGATACACAACCCTTTTGGATCAAAGCACAGGTGGTTCTTTTGTATTACTTGAGAGCAAAGCCAAGGGTGGGCCACAGGTAGGTCAAGGAGAAAGAAGCCTGAGAAAGTAAGTATGTGTGCATTTAGTAGTTTGATATCTGCCTTTCCCTCCAAAATGACACTCAAGGTAGTTAGCAATTTCTTAATCTTTTGATTGATCAGGAACACCTCTGTCCAATCTGCATTAAATATCAATGAAATCATCTCATTCTAGTCCAGGGCTGATTTCAGTCACTGCTTTGAGTTTTGAACAGCTTCCTTGGATTTCAGCCTTCAGGGATTTGAGATACAGTTGCAGAAATATTTTTTGGATCTCAAGTTTACCAACCGAAAAAGAACTGGTAAACCAGGTACCCTAGTTTCTCAAGGTCAGGTCTATCTAAGATCTGCTGCTGAAAATTTCCAGTATATTGTACACAGTACCAAGTCAGATGGACCTAACACAGTAAAAGGCTGCTTCCTACAGTAATAGAAAATACGGGGGTTTTTTTTAGCAAGTCACTGGACATTTAGGCAAAGGTGGTGCTAATAAAAATATCCAATAGGGTAGCTATACAAAAGATTGACAGGTGTGTTATAGCAGCACACACACACGTAAATTATAATCACATCCTACACTGCAGCTTTGCCCCTTCTACCCAAATTCTTATGGACCCTCATAAGCAAGAAGAGCACACTTGGCCTTGGAGTGGCATGCCAAGTATTACATTCCAAAAATTGAAGAAAGGTTAGGACAAAAAACTGGTTCTAACATAATAGCTGAATTTCATTCATTGTATTTAATTAACGACATGTAATGGAATATTATTTTAATATGACTCATCAGTCTGTATTTAATAATGTTCTCTGTTGTATACTGAAACTTACAATTCAGCACCATTTTTCGCAGGAGTCATAATAGCTTTCATTTGCTTACTTGTATGACATATTTATCACAAGTCAATTTTTGTATAACAATTTTGTGTGCTGTAGCTTCCTGTTATTTAATTAAAACCTGATTACCGTGATAAAGAGTATTGATTCAGTAACTGACTTACCTATCATTCTTACTTTACTTTACACTCTACTTGTATGCTTCACATTCCCAAAAGCTCTGGCCAGCTAACAAAGAAACAAATCTTTTAATTGTTATATCAGAAGTGTATTTAGGTGCACTCTTGACAGAATACAGTTACATGTAAGAATGATGTTTATTCCTCTACTTATCTTCACTTTCAGACTTAGTTCTAGATGTGCCAATAAAACAATAGGCATTCGTTCATCAAACTGCAAAAAATGTTGCAACTTCAGCTATTTTATGCTTAAATGTTCTCTTATAAATAGGATTAATATATTAAATTCACTTATCGTGTTTTGACATAAGCTCTCATTTGCTGTTAAGAAGATAGAAAATGGTTTAATGCTTTGTCATCCATGGTCCATCTAGTTCAGTATTATTGACCTTAGCTGACAGTAATCTTCCATGTGTTTCCCTACATGGAGATATGAAGGATGCTTCTGTATGGCAAAGTATGTAGCATTCCCCTGAACCATGGTTCTGGACTGATTAAGGCCATGATTATTACTGGATCAATAGCTGAGTCAATTACATCAGCAAAATGTATAGTAGAATAAGAAAACTGCAGTCCATTTTTTCCACTAGCCATATTTTGCCATTATTTCCTTTGGATCCATGTTTCCAGCAGTCACATTTGGAGGTACTTGTTTGTTCTTTGGCTCTACCTTTTTTCTAAAATGTTTTACTTAGAAAATACATTTCTAAGAGAACAAGACATGTCTTATCTGAAGGAATAAGTCTTGAAGAAGAAAAACTTCAGTTCTTTAGAAGCCATAAATAGATACTATATCTCTTGAGTCGGCTGTTAGCAAGAAAATACATTTTATTTTTAGGAGGTGAGATGAAGAAATTTGAACATTTAGAATAAAGCTGTTTTATATTTTTTATACTGAAAAAACTTCTTTAGAAATCTTGTCTATGATTTTTTGTCCATCTGGCAAGAATTCAAACTTGCATCTGTCTTGATTATATTTAAGAGAAATCTTTGAACTCTCATGAGTTCACCATCTATTTTATGTATTGTCTTTAGCTACAACCCTGCTTACTCTTAGCTTTTGACCATTACAAAAACCTTATTCTGGAATGCTGAAATTACCGTATTTATCGGTATTTAACAGTATAACACACACAGGTGTATAAC